CGGCGGAGCGGGCTGTGCAACAGGAGCGGGGATGGTGCAAATGCAGAAGGAAAGACCCAGAGAAAAGGCAGTGAGCGAATGGAGGGCAAGGTTTCCCTGCTCTTGGCTTTGTTGTGCAGCAGTACAATACTGAAATTTAACAGGCCTGTTGTGGACTCAAAAGTAAACTTCAGTTGAACTTATTAGACCCCTTCTGTTCAGTCTTCAGTGGGACATACTCCTACTAGTGTTTATTTAGGTGGAAAAAACTTAAAGGTATGGAGCTGTGCATGGAGTTGCAGGCACAGCTAATCATTAGCATCATCATCCTGAAAAATGAAATATTGTAGGCCCTTTCCCTACATATTAAATAATAATTAGCGGGGAGAGCATTCTCACCCATTTCAAAGTATTTGTTTACCCTGCTATTATCTGCTTATAGAAATGAAGTACCAGTTGGTGGGAATCAAGGACTCAGAATAGGAAAAAAAAAAACCTTACAAATTATTTTAATAAAAACTATTATTTTGCTGTGCTAGGACTTATGCAGTACTCAGGGCAGCTTAGAATAATTCAAACAAATAAAATACTATAAGAACTGCAGAGGGGAAATAGAAAAAGTTGGTAGAAACAGCAGCGGAAATAAACTGAAATGTACACTGACTGTGAAACAAATGCCCTCCCAGATAAGAAGATATTCATCAAACTATACAAGCATTTTTGAGAAGCTGTCAACCTAATTTCTCCTGGCACAGAAGTCCAAAACGTACATATAGCCCTTTCTCTTGTTCTTATTAACTGGTCCTCTGCTATATGGATAAGAAGAGTCTCTCTTTTAAATATTAGGGATTAGGCAGCCTGGTTCCTGATGGATCAGGAAAATGCAACTGTTTTTGAGCTGAGGTAGCAGTTGGCCTTTACATAGCATGCTGGGAGTACACTTAAAAAAGTAGATGGGGACAAACAAAGAATCAGTGAGTCCATTAATTAGCAATTTAAATCAGAGTTAATATGGTTGTATCCAATGTAATGACTTCACATTAAATTTCCAATTTGGCAGCAACTTTTAAAAGAGCTGTGGGTTGAGAGGACCCATGTGTCTATGTGCAACCCTGTTGGTTTTAAAAGTCATCAACAACAATTTGAATTGTACCTGTAAACAATTTGGTAGCAATGTACCCTGTAATGGGCAGGAGAGGTATTAATGGTTTTGCTGCTGCAGTTTAGAGCAATTGCTGTTTGTGAGGATTCTCATTCTTTATGAGATACTACAGACTTAGTGATTAAGATATTATCGCTTAGATTAATTAAGGTATGTGTCACCATAGCCAAATGAAGTTGGTGTATCACCTTAAGTTGGGCAAATGCACTCTTGGCTACAAAAACCACTTGAGCATCTAAAATGCTAAATGAATCCAGTAACAACTCCAGCTGCAAATATGATTCTCCACATAAAGTATTAATCTATCCAAAACATGTTAAACTCTGTTATTCCTTTTATGGTATAATAGGTTGAATCTATAATACATCTGTCTCCTAGCCAGGAAAATTTCTGCCTTGTGTGGATTGAGATTCAGTCTAGTCATATCTTCCTCTAGTAATGGATTAAAACACAAAGAGCTTCCTCAGTAATAAATGAAAAAGTGAAATAGAGATGAAAGAATATCTATTTCATGGAGATGTTAACCAGTGTTTGAGAGAAAAACAAACCCTAAATATATATATATGCCAACACAGACTGATCAATAACGAAAGACCAACATCACTGTTTCTCCCACTAAGCAGCGCAGAATGATCACCCAATTAGATCTTCCCTGGCTACTTTAAGCAGCCAGGAAGTGCAAGGGTCCATTGTTTATATATTTGGTCTCATGCTATCAAAAATCATGACTACATTCTCAGGTTATGAACATTGAAACTTATCAAGGCATAGTGTAGATGTAACTTGCTTTTTTTGAAGTACCATTTTTAGTACCATTTCTTCATGGTAAGTAAAGTAACACATTATGAGAGCCAGTGCAGCATTGTAATTAGAAGATTTAATTAATACAAGAGAAATACAAATTAAAATCCCTTCCCAGCCATGGAGCTCTGGTAGAGGCCTCAGGGTAAGCAACATTGCCATAGAAACCAGAAAAATGAATGCTTGCATAAGCTGTATTAAATATAGTTGTTATTCAGTCATTGTAGGCTGTGTAAAAATCAGTGGGGTTGAGGGAATCAAGTATGCTGCCTAGAGCTTGGTGAAAGTAATCTGGGATATAAATAAATTATTATAATTGGATCCTATTTATATTATCCTTTTGTGTGTGATACTTGCATAATTTTTATGGACATGATAACATTAAGCTGCACACTCATCAGTAGAATCAGTTACATATATATCCTGATTGTTCACCTGTATGAGCAAGTTAACACAGGTTGGGTTTTTGCACTTTATACAACTCTTTAGAAGATTGTGATTATGACTAGTATGTTGTCTAACAGTATGCAGGATGACTTCACAATATATGGTTTGCAGTAGAAACAAGTTGTGTGCTCATGATTGTGTAGTTAATATTCAGCATAGGTTGTCAGCCCCATAAGATAGACCAGACTAAGAAACGGGCACCCTGGAAACCTAAAGCTACTTTTATTAGAACAGCTATAGTAACAGAATCTTGCAAGTCTGGATGTGCCTCCCTTCTTCCTTTTTTCATCTTCATGAGAATTAAGGTAGAGGGGAGGCTGTCTGAGGCATTTTCATAAACCATTACCTTGGCCTGGGGTCAAGTCTTGTTTATCTGGTTGTTGCCCTGCTAGGGAATCTTCCTTCTGTCCTTCAAGGCTATCCTCTTTACTCACTTGGTTGAGTACAAGCTGTAACTGCTTAAACTGAAATCATGATAAAAAAGATATTTTAGGAAAATTATAGAAAAGTTAGATTTCATTGATTACCACAGTATTATTTGAAATCCTAGTGTTACAAAACTTCATACAATATTACAATACAATCCTAAGTATAACAAATACATCTGTATAATGTCATTTTTAATGAGGAAGAATGGATAACAATATATTAACTTAAAGTATTGATATGGGAATATCCTGATAGCAGTAGAGATAGAAAAATAGCATCAGTATCTTGGGTATATTTAGTAGGGTGCCATATATATGTATTTGATTAACCTTTGTGTTTGAAGTTATACAATTGGTAAACAAAATTGGTATGGCAGTTTCTGTTTTAGTTTAAAAAAAATTTAGGCTGCATTCTCCCCCAAAATTATTTATATATTTAAAAAATTCATTTGAATGTTACTTGCATTAAGTTGTTAATATTTTAAAGCAATTGTTGGACCACAGTATTAAAAGAATTATGTTGGAAGTTGTTAACTTCATATACTATAGTATAGGTCATGTTTTTTTCATACTCAAAAAGCTGTTAAAAGGTTTCCTGAGGCATTAGGTGGTAATTAATTTTTAGCCAGTTAAATACTTAAGATGTACTAACAAATGATTCAAACAACGCCAATTTAATTAATTGGTTTAGAATATAAATTTTAAGTTGGGAAGTCTACAAGTCAAATCTGAACCATGTTGTTACCATTAATGTGGTTCTATGCAAGCATTGCACTATAGTTTCAGAAACCAAACTGATGATCATAAAAATTTGCTGTATGTTGAAGGGAATCTCCATTTTTCTAGGACTCAAACCGTAGAATTTTGTTGTGGGCAAATTGGACTATTTGATAAAGTAGAGTTTCTGTTATGCTATGTGGATTGTAATTAGGCCTAAGACTTTAAAGATTATCTGCAAGGAATACAGCTATATAGTGCATCAGATGTATTCACAAAAGGTGCTTCCAAGCATGGGGGAGCCTGAATTTGTTTACAACATCTTAAAGCAGCTATGCCTTTATTAGGATTGCATGCAATTGCTTTAAGGTATTTCAAGTAGGTATTATATCCATACTTCTGCATGCTCCAAAACATTTTTTTCAAGACTGAATCCAAAGTGCTACCCAACCCATTTATTATCTGCAAAGGACAGTGGAATCTTTAGCAATTCTCTGTAATCATCCAGCTGTAAAATCCTTCTCACCTATGATTCAGAAACAGATTCTAAGTGGCAATGTAGAGGGGAATTATATCCAAATGTATACAATGTTTGAGTATATGCAACTAGTTGTAGGTTTTTTTGTCCTGGTTTATGCCCTGCAGTGTGACAGAAACTGGTAACATGAACTTTTCTTACATGGTTTAAGTTAGAAATGCTACTTGAAAACAGTAAGTTTTTATCAAAAGAAAGGCTCATTTTTGTAGTACTTATGATTAGAAGTTATCTCAACATGGATTAATAATTGTATTGTTATGCTTCTTCAAAGGCATTATTTTGGAATATATTCAAAGTGGTGAAGTGAAAACCAAATCCATAGATTTACTAGATCTCAATACTGCGTGAGTATTATATTTTATTATAACAATAGAACTACATATTGGCACTAAACAATTTAAGTAATGCACACAAATATGCTGAACAGAAAAAAGTACTTTTTAATCATAATGTTAATCTAGGTTTGTTTATTTAAGACTTATATATGAATGTCTAATCCTGTCTCCTTTGGCATAACTGACATATAACTTGTAGTTTCTTTATGAATTTTCAGTGGCTTCAAACTTATAAAATCATAGAGCTAGAAAGGACCATTTAGGACACTGAGTCCAACAATTCTGCTCAGTGCAAGAATTCATATTAAACCATCCCTACAAAACGACTGTCCAGTCTTTGCTTGAAACATCCAGCACAGTGGAACATATTACCTATTGTCATCAGGGTTTT